TTTGAGTCCTTAGCATTACTCCTAAAATAGAAGTGATGAGTAAATATTAATGAGACCTCTGCTTCAAACGTGGGGGGGGGGTGGTCTTAGAATAAATAATCTTCAGCTTCTGATCACAAGGCGGGTGGCTAGTGGTTGTTATATATAATTCGTGTTTTTATTTTATTTTATTGCTTTGAGAGTGAGGGGGAGGGAGGAAGAGAGAGAGAGAGAGAGAGAGAGAGAGAGAGAGAGAGAGAACTTGTTGTTCCATTTATTTATGCACTCTTTTGTTGATTGTTATATGTGCCCTGACTAGGGATCAAACCTGAAACCTTGGCAGGATGACACTCTAACTGGGTCAGGGCCTACATGTAACTAAATGAGTCCTTTAACCAAACCATACTTCTTTCCTACCTGTCCTGTAAGCAGTTTCTGACTGAGAGTGTGAAAGTGACTTGTGATATATTCCCAGGAAAAGTCCGTGAGAATAGGAAAGAGAAAATGGGAAGGGGAGGCCAAGAAGGGATAGATATTGAGCAAAGTCTTCTGGAGGGTAACTGTGGCTCAATCCCATAAGTCCTGGAGACAAGGCAAGTCACATATGTCATTTTTAATGTTGAAGTATCCAAACTCAAAAATAAGTTGAAATTAATTTTAATGTTTTATTTAACCCACTTATATAAAAAGCATTATCACTTCAACATCTAATCAACATAAAAATTATTGAGATGCTTTACATTCTTCATACTAATTCTTTGAAATCTAGTCTGTGTTTTATACTTTCTGCACATCACGATATAGACATTTCACATTTCAAGTACTCAGTGGCCACATATGCTGGCTACTGTATTGGACAGAATAGGTCTAGGTGATTCCTCAGTTATGCTGATCAGGTTATAAGGGAGCTGAAGTATTTTCATCTTGCCAGTCCTTGGTTAAGGGCAGCCCCTGGGCATGCAATCCCAGGTACTTCAGTGTTCCTTGCAGGCAGACAATCTGAGGTAAGTCCTACAGCCTAGGAGAAATGAGTACTTCTCTACCAGCTTCAAATTTTTAAAATCCCAAGGGAAAAAAAATACTCTGATTGGCCTGATTTGGGTTTTGTGTTCATTCTTTGAACCCAGGTAAAGAGACCAGGAGAGTTAGCATCATAATTTGTCCAGTGGGTCTTGTAATCATGTAAGAAAGAACAATAATTTTCCCTTTATCCTCCTGAGCTCTTAGCTGAGACACCTGTAACAAAAGACATATTCATGAGAGAAAGATAGGAAGTTATTAATAGGTACTAGTGGCCCGGTGCACAAAATTCATGCACTAGCGGGATGGGGGGTCCCCCAGCCTGACCCGTGCCCTGTCATAGTGCGGGAACCCCACGATCCATCGCAACAAAGAGGTAGGCCCCACCTATCTGGGACTCCTCGATTGATTGCCCCAAAGAGGTAGGCCGGAGCCGGGGGTCCCACCTCCACGCCGCATGGAGCCGCAGGACCCCCAGGCCTCGCCGCGTGGAGGCCTCCTCCAGGCCCTGCCTCTGGGCTGGTCCATGCGGAGGCCTCCAGACCCCTGGCAGAGCCGTGCAGAGGCCTCCGCTGGGCCCCAGGCCTCCTGGTGATGGATTGTGACAGCATGACACAAGTTCCCAATGCTGCAAGTCCCTGCCTACTCGCACCTGCTGATCGGTCGTTACACATGAGGGCGTCCTGACCATTTGCGTATTACCCTTTTATTAGTATAGATACTTCATATATAGATGGAGATGCCCAGGGAAAGATGAGTAACTCTCTGAAGTGGTTTTGAATTCAGGCTTAAATACCATCTTAATGGGAAAAGGAAGTAGGGATAGGGAACGTAGGCCTCTTATGGGAGAGAAAATGAATTTTAGGGAACAAGGATGGGCCCTTAGAAGACTAGATGGGAAGTATGATAGTTTGTGGCAAGGTTTGCCTAGGCGTGGTGTCGACTTCTAGTCTCCTCTCCTGTGATAAGAGTCAATCCGCCCTGGTTGATGAAACTTCAGGGAAGAGGATTTCAAACAACTGAGTTCCTTTTGGAGGATCTGTTTTTAGTCAGATAAGGGAGTTCAGAGAAAACTTCTCCATGCATTTGCTGTTTTTCATGTGCCTACAGCTCAAAATAACATGCTAAAGAGCCATATGTTGAGGTGGCATGTCCTGAACTCCTAGTCATGTTTTGGGGTGGCACATTCTGCTACTCTTCACTCACTTGTAACCAAGAGAAAACAGATTATTACTGAGTTGAAGTCAGGAGGTATAGTATAGATATAGTCACTGGGGACAATTATGTTATCTACACACCCATCCCAATGTGTCCGCATCTAGTTTTTTCTTAAATAGAATATCAGAAATCCATTATTTTATATAGAATTATACAGTTCAGGCTTAATTTTATACAACACAGCTATTGGTGTTTGAAAGACTGAATTGTTTTTGAGACACACAGGTACATTTCTATTCTGAATCCATTATTTATTTCATGCATGGTGGTTCTTAGTGTTTGTTTTGTTGTTTTTTAAAGAAATATCAAGAAAAATAATGTAATTTTTACAAAACTATAAAGAAGGATTTTTAGGCAGTCCCATATTTGTCTCTATTATTTCAAAGTTACTGTAGTTTCTTGGGATCCATAGTCCCTTTCTGGTCTTCCTGCAGTCCAAAGCTCCCCAGACGTTTGATGATTTAAGTGCATCTTGAAGTTCACACTTTCACATAAGTCCCCATATATTTAAACTGTGACTCATTTATGACTTTTTTGATGATATGATTTTATATCCATCAAATACCTCTGCAAGTCTTTAAGATTCCATTACAGTCAAGCCAATACACTAATGGAAATACATTCTATAAATTTAATTTAATTATAAATTCCTGTGTTTCCTTGCAAAGATTAGGACACTTTACGTGTACCAAGAGTGGAGGTTCTGGAATTAGACTGTCTGGGATAATATACCAGCCATGCCACTTAGTTGTGCGACTTTGGGCAAATTACTTTACTCCTTAATGTCTCAGTTCCATCTTAGGTGAAATAGGGATAATAATTGTATCTACTTCATAGTGTAGTTGTGATGATACAACAGGATATTCCATGTGACTCTCTAATGACAGTGCCTGTCACTTAGAAAGCACTTACTAAGTATTAACTAGTGGGCAGCAGAAGTAAGATGTATCATGGTTTGAGTTCCTCAGACTTCAACAGGAGGCAATTTATTATATCCCTTAAATGATTTTCCATTAACTCGACTACCTGAATTTCTATATTCTGATTCAACTTCTCTTACATGTTAGAAACTGGTGGTAAAGGACACAAGTGTGAAGAAAATTCTCATAAACTTCATGACCCAATGATGAACTCTCCTGGTGAACACTATAATATGAACAGCCTTTTATTTCAAGTTGTATACATTGCTTCATCCTTCCCCTTCAACCTTCTATTGTAGTTCCCATAATAACAAAGGACTTGGGGGAGTGGAAAGGGAGAAAAACATCTAGAAAATGCAGTATTTGCCTGAAAACAACAGTTCAAACAAGAAGAGATGGGGGAGTGTTAAATGATGAGTTTAAGATCCCTGCCCAAACACTAGTACAGAGGCTTGAGAATCAATTTAGATAAGTTCTAGAAAATAAATGTTTTTGCACAGTCTGACTGAATTTTTAAACCCTGCATCAGTGCTAGCTTCATAATTTGGGAGGCCCAGCGCAAAACGAAATGCAGAGATCCTTGTTCAAAAAATAGGGGGGGGGGGGGGGGGGGGGAAGGAAATTAAAGGTACTAAAATATAAAACTTTTTCTTTTCTTCCACGATCTCTTTTTAAATTTGTCATGGTGTTTTTATTTGCTATTTAATGTTGTTCTAACTAAAGAAAATTAGAATTTTAAGTTATGAGCACAAATTTTACCATTCATCTTTAAATTGTGCAATGCCAATTTTAAATGCACACATAAGCTATTAATTCATAAGCAAAAGAATCAAAACTATGTAATTTCTATTTTGTAGCTCTTATATTCATGTGCATTTCATTCTTACCAGAATGGTGGAGACACTGCACAAAACTAACCCAACTGTTTTATTCCACTTCTTGATACCTGCATGTTCTACTAACACTCTAATTTTAGCCGAAGGATAAGGGAGGACTGAAAGGAAAATGAATTAGGGGTTGCCCTAACTTTCCTTTTCTTTCTATATCACTTTCAGTACCACTTGTTGGCTAATACTGAGAAAAATGAGGAGTAAGAAAGGGTCTGATAGGGTTCCTTGCTCATCTGTGTTTCTTCGAATGCCATTGCCTTCTTTCTGGATTGGAAGCCAAGTTCTGGTTCAAACGGAAAGTGTGGCCTCTAGGGGCTGTCAGTGTCCTAGTTTACTCAGTCCTAGGTGTAACCTACTTACCTTATCCTAGCTTTGAGCCTCACTGAACACTCACACACCATGGATCCAATGGAATTTTATGCTTATGGCAGCATCTTGAATACCATATGCAAATAGGGTGGCAAGCAACAGCAGACATATTGCGTGTATCTCCTCTGCTCTCACACATACTCCAGTGTTCCAACAAACTTGACTTACAAAACACAGGTTCAAAGAGAAAATTGTTAAGGATTTCAAGACAGAGACAGCAGCACATTAAACTAAGTGCAGGCCTTCTGAAAGGGCCCTAGGCAACTAACTGCACTTGTCACACCCGGTGATGCCGCCCTCCCATCTGTGGGAACCAAACATCTCAAATTCCTTGCTGGTTGTGGAGAGACTGCTCAGTGCAACCTAATAATTCACTCCTTCCCTAGTAACAGAACTCCAATTTCATTTAAGTTTTCCAGCATCTTCTGCAGCTACTATAGCCATGTGAACAAGTTTTGGTTAATCAGACATATGAGAAAGTGTTGTATGGGTTTTGGGAATAGCAACCTCATTCCTCATTTCTAGCTGCCTGGGAACAGTGTTGTGATACTACAACTCCAGTAGCCATCTTGGAACGTGAAGATGTGCCGTTAGGTTTTTGAAGATGACCTTGAAGGTGGACGTTAAGTTCCCAAAAGAAACAGATAAAAGGTGCCCGAGTTCCTGCCACAGGAGCCTTGGTTGCTTACCTCAACGACTTTTTAATGTGTGAGAGAAATAAACTTGAATCTTGTTAACCATTATTATTTGACAGTGTCACAACACGCAGGTGAAATTTTCTAATTTACAAGAGAACACTCCACTAGTTCACATCGGCTAACAAATTAAGTTAAACAATGTTAAAATACAAGTCTTGCCCTGTCCTCAATTTGTTACTGGGTGGCATGTTTAGAAGCCCCTGGCTGGAGGGGCAACCATTTCTAAGATTCAGAGGTACTTTTTCTCGGAGGTTGCTGACAGACTCCAGATAAAAGCAGTGCTATAATGAAATGTGTTATGACAATAATGTAGTAATAATATAATATGTGAATATAACATTTTGTAGTTTCCTAAGTAATTTAAATATCAATATCTCCAATAAGCATAAAAAAGAAAATCATAAAAATCCTTATGGATAATTATAAGACTATATATAGAAAAGAGATGTCAACCATTAATCTGTCAACATAAAAAAAGATAGGTCAAGTTGTCTCCTAAGATTAAAGAAAAGAGCTTCACGGACAACAGTATGGGTGACTGCCAGAGGGAAGGGGAGTTGGGGGAGATGGGAGGTAAAGGGGGGGTAAATGGTGACTTGACTTGGGGTGATAAAAACACAACACAATATATAGAATTGTATACCTGAAATTTGTATAATTTTATTAACCATCACCTCAATAAATTCAATTTAAAAAAAAAAGAGTTCAAGTTGACTAATACTGCCATCTAGAGTTAAAAATCAAAATTACTATTTCTTATCTAGTAATAAGGAGACTGAAAGGTTGGGACTTGAACAGGTCTCTCTCTTTTTTTTTTCTCCCCAACTTGTACTGGCTATCCTACCTGTCTTGTCCATTTGTGGAGAACCGCTGGATGACATCTGCCATGGGCCATCTGGAGGTAATTGGGATGGCATATGGAGTGTCCTCATAAAATAATACATGAAGTGCATTCCATTTGCCATTTGTCCAGTCTACGGGCTGTCCTGGCTAAGTAGCACATAGGATGGGCTTTGAACTCAGAAGCAGGGCTAGGAAGAGGGTGGTAGAGAAAAGCAATATAATTACAAGGTCTCTACTCCTTCTCACATGTCCTTCCAGCTGATCCTCAAGGATTGACCTCAGACCTAATTCTTCCCCTTCTGTCTAGTTTATGCTCTTTCCTCAAACCTATGTGATCCACAATGACCTTCTATAAGTTCTCCCTCTCTCTCATCCCCTTTCCAACATCCTTCTCACCTCGCTGTTTGTGCAGTCAGTGCTGTTTGGTGGAAAGCAGGCAGAGACGGTTTGAACCTGGGGTCCCCCATTTACCTTACCATTTTCCTTTATCACATCACTACGATTTTCTGAGATTCAAGTTATTCATATCTGTATGGAACATGTAATATGGACCTTGCAGGGTGGTTGCAAAGCTTAACTGGGAAATGTATGGTAAAAGAAACCAGCATGTGGTGGGTAGTTAGAAATTTTTCTTTTCTTTTCCTTCTCTCATTCTCCTGTCCTCCATAAAACAGTTAGGAAAAATTAGTTTAAAAAAAAAAAAAAAAAGAAAGGAAAATAGGCTCCTTGCATGAGATTTAGCTATCAATAATCTTCAAAGTGTGATTTCATGGATATGATGACAGTCCATTTTTATTGCTTCCCTTTTTTACCTGAATGTTCTCTGAGAAAGGGAAGCTCATCAGACATGGTTGCATAGTGGAAAGGAAAGCCATGGGCTGTTGCACTTACTTGTCATTTGAGACCAATCACTTTTACCCTGGGAGCCTGAGTTCTTCATCCCTGAAATAGGGGTGGTATTCCTTCTCATGCCCACCTCCTCTAAGCTTAGGTTAAAATAGCTGAAAGGATTCTGTAAAGCCTAAAGTAAATACTAATGTGAGCAATTATTACATTTTGTTTGCTTCATGACTTACCCATAATGGACATTCAGTAAGGATTTTAAAATATATTAACCATGAGTTTTACCTAATTAATTTACCTCATAGTCACTGAGTGCTGATTATCTCCTAAGCATCCATCCCCCACGTCTTCCAGCCAGGCACTCTAGTCAGCATGTTTTGTGTAAGAGACACTTTGCTAGGCTTTGGTGAGGCTATAAAGATGATTAAGGTCCCTCACAAAGTTGGCTGGCAAAGCCAGAACAATATAGCAATACAGAGTGTAATTAGTATCATGTCGGGGAGCGTGTGCAGACTAAGGACATTGTTTGCTGTAGGAGTTCAGAAAGGAGTAATTGATGTGTGGAGTCCAAGGCTTCACAGAGATGAGGTATTTGAGACGTTATATTTTTGTAAACAGAATTGGGGGCGGGGGCGATTCTAGACAAAGATACAGAATGACAAAGGCATGGATATAGAAAAAAGCAAGTAGGAAAAGGCAAGTTGTTCATTGTGACTAGTCCCAGTGTGTGTGTGTGTGTGTGTGTGTGTGTGTGTGTGTGTGTGTGTGATGCCTGTAATTGTTGGCGAAATGCAGTTGTAAAGATCAGTTAGAAGCAGATCATGGAGGGCCTGAAATTATACACAAAGGATTTTTTCTGTAGTAATAGGCCTACAATCATTACAGAAAGTGTGTGATGTGATCACAACTGTGCTTCCTGCAGATAACTCTTAGAATATAAAAGACTAGAGGCCTGGTGCACGAATTCGCCTGGCCAACAATCAAGGCCTATCAGGGGGCCGGTCCAGCCAGGGGGAGGGACACCAGGAGGTTGGCCGGCGGGCCAGGGGGAGGGGCCGTGGGAAGCTGGCTGTGGGAGCACACTGACCACCAGGGGGCAGCTCCTGTGTTGAGCGTCTGCCCCCTGGTGGTCAGTGCATGTCATAGCAACTGGTCAACCAGACATTCCAGTTGTTCGGTCGTAAAGGTCACTTAGGCTTTTACATATATAGATAGATTAGATATACCACATATTAGAGATACAGGCATGCAAGAGGTTATTGCAAAAGACCTGAACTAGGGTAGGAGTGGCAGGGATATAAAGTGAATAAAAAATGAGCTGCGGCTGATATGAGCCTACATCCTTCAGCTAATTGGTTAGGGGAGGTTTTTTAATGGGGAGGAAATATAAGGTGGACTGTAATTTTCTAGATGGAATAGTTGTGAGGATGTGCCGTTAACCTGAAGAGGACACTAAAGGAGGCATCAGGGACTAAGGAGTGGAAATTATATAGGCTTTCTAGTCAAATTGACTAGCGTTAAAATTCTGCCACTTACATGCCATGTAACTTCAAACAAGTTACCAAAACTCTTTGAACCTTGATTTCATATCCACAAAACAGGAATTATATTAATACTTATTCTACATGATTGATGTAGAGGATACACGTTGCTTATCTCCTCAGCAGAATGACCTGCCAGGTGATTGACTCCATCACCTGCATCCACAGTGACTGGCTCAGGCGTAGACCTGTGACCCAAACTTGGCCATTGAGGGCATCACAACTAAACCTGCCACCTCAGAGGAGATTCAGGAACCGTGGAGTACACTGTGTGGAGCCTGAAGAGGAAGCCCTCATAGCAAGAGGCAGAGTAAAGGGATACAGAGAAATGGAGTCATTAGGACATTAGGTCATTGTTGGCAGGAAGCAATCCCTGCCAATCAGCCATGCTGACAGACTTTCAATTATGGGACTGACAGAAGAGGCTAAATTATGCTATCAGAGCAATAACACCCTCCTCTCCCCCAAATCTCAGGGCCTGACAGCCACAAAGATTCATTTCTCACATTTGCTAAATAGATTAGCTGCAACTCTGCTAAATTACTTTTTTAATCCGGAACCCAGGATGATGGAGTAATCTCTATCTGGAAACCACCAGTTGTTGTAATAGGGGGACAAGGGTAGGAGAATAAGTACTGGCTCTTAAACCATCTGCCTGGAAGATGCTTCCTGCTTGCACGTCACTGGCGAGAATAAATTCATGTGCTCAAGCTTGATGCCATAAGAAAGAGAGGGGCAGCAAATATTTTTGAAAAATAATAATGCAATCTATCAGTAAACTTCTGATTAAGCAAGCTTAGGTCATATTTTCTGTCACTTGCAATCAAACCTGTCTTAACTTAAAAAAGCAGATTAAAGAATTAAATTAGATATTTTATATAAAATTGTCAACACATGGTAAGCATTCAATAAATGGGAGCTATTTCCAAGTGCATGAACACAGCTGAATGGATAATTATATCTTTCTCAAGCACTAAAAGTACAATCAATTTATTTAATTTACCTTTGATTCACTTAACTCACTAACATGTATTGAGTTATTTTAATGTGGTAGACACTATACTGTGTGGTAGTGACACAAAATGAGCATAATACATTTACTTTGTAGTTCAGTAATTTTTTTTTAAAGAAATAACTTAATACGAGGGCTCAGTGTCTTAGGCTGATAATATCAAATTCTTACTGTTGTGTCTGAGGAAAGTAATACACATTTCGGAAATTCCTATTCAGAAAAGGGTAGATAGTAAATGGCATATTGTAAAATGGAGCCAGAAGTATGAATGCTATTCCTTTACTCACCACACATCAACCCATTTGTCCAATACATGCCTATTAGCACCACTATGTGCCAGGCACTCTTAAGAGTGAAAAACATGTATTCTCATCTTGAAAGAACTTAAAATGTAGTAGTAATGAGAGGTGAGCTGAGAGTATATAAAGGATACTATAAAAATGACCTCCATTTTTGCTAAACCTAAAGATCAACTTGCTAGACAAACAAAAGACAGAGTTGATCATTCCCTTCTTCACTTGCTTCTCACACACCAGCCCTCCTGCGTTTCTTTCTAGGATCCATTCTCTGTTATATGCTAGCCACACCCACCCCCTGCTCTCAGTCAGCCATCTGGCTTCCAATATTATCTCTGCACTGAGGACTGCAAATAGCAGGGCTCCACCCCGACTTCTCTCCACAACTCTGAAATGGCTTATCTTATTGCCTCATTTTATACCAAGCATCTCTCAGGTATTACCAGACTGGACTCCTGATCCACCAGTCTTAAACTGGCACCTCCCTCAAGGTCCCCCCTCCCAGTAAAGGGTACCACTGTTCACCCAGTCTCTCAAGCCAACCTTGAAGAAATCCTAATTCTTTTCCTTCTTTCCTCACATTTCCAATCCAGCAGCAAATCTGTGGACTCTGGCTTTCAACACATCTTGACTGTGATCAGTTCTTCTCTCCTGCCCTCTAGGACATCACTTTAGTGCCGGCCAGCATCATCCCTGTGATCTGGACTCCTGCAGCTGCCTCTCCTATCTGGCTTTTCTGCTTCCATGTTTATTCTCTTATCTTCTACACAGCAGCCAGAATGATTCTTTTAAAAATAAAGTCAGACCATGTCACTTCTCTGTTCAAAACTTCAATTGCTCTCCCTGCAACCTCTGCCCTTAGATATGAGCATGATTCATTCCCACGTTCCACCGTTTTATACCTTCTCTGATATCTTACCAAAAACAATAGTTCCTTCTGTCCCCACCCTCTATTCCTTTACTGTTGTATTTTTCTTAATGTTGCTAAGTAACATTAAGTTGTTTGACCTTATGCTAAGTATGTACCTGTTTATAAATAGAGGAATGGAAGCACCATGAGGATTTTGCATTTCTATTGCCAAAAACAGTTGAAGGTTGGCACTTGGAAGCTTTTATGAAAGCACTCTGGGATTATTCTAACTAACACGTTACTAATGAGCTACGACATTGTCCTGACGTATTAGCTTTGCTGTGTTACTGTCCACATTTCAGAGACATGGTAGGTGAGGCACAGAATCGTCGTCACCTACCCAAAGTCCCACAGCTCATAAGCGGCTTAGCGAGGATGTCAATCTAGGTGTTTTTTCCTCTCTGCTCCTGGGCACTTGGCACTCCGGTTTGAACCCCCAAAGAATGTCTGGGGAGG